CACCTGAACTTCTTCTGAGCGCTCCGCATGTTTTTTTTCCCGTGACTATCACCTGTCTCATTCGGTTTTCTCATGAACAGAGTGTTGTGCGTGGCGGAAGCCAAACAACCGATGTGCTTCGAGAAACCAAACCAAACAAATGCCGAGAGAAGGCCAAACAATGCAAAATAACGGCACAAACTCAAACAACCAATTTTAACGTGATTCGGCAAGTTTCTTACATCCACGGGGTAAGAAGGAGATAGGGTTTTCACTAATAGAGAAGAAGAGTACAAACTGAGATTACAAATCACTCAAACTCACTAATTAATCTCACCAACAAATCTCTAATTCTCTCTAAATAAAACCCTAACTAATAGCTCAGAAAATATTTCTTTTCTATGCTCCAAATATCCCCAATTCGCTGCTCAATTCTCTCTTCCAATTGTTCCATATATATAGAAATCCTAAAACCAAAAACATACTAGGAATTCTAAAATAAAAAATAAAACAGATTAGGAATCCTAATAACCTGTTACCAAAACAGATTTGAAATCTTGTTACCAAAACAGATTAATAATTCTAATAACCTGTTACCAAAATAAATTAGAAAACATATTAGAAACATGCTATCCAACATAGAGAACCCAAAACTAGAGCACGTCGTCACTGTGATCTCACCGCCACGCCTAACTTCATGAGAAAGCCAAACTGCGAATATCGCTGTCTGCAGCCACTCACACCACCACGAACTGGCGAACCCTGCTCTGATACCACTTGTTGGGAATTTTAGATCTCACTAAAATCTCGAAAAAAGCACCAAACACAACAACTAGAATCACATGAGGTTTAACGTGGAAAACCCTCAACAGAAAAAACCACGGGATCGAAAATAACCCACTATCATCTCTGAATTATAATTTTTGCACGAACAAAGACTGACAAATCCTCTCTCTCACAATACCATTGAACCTGATTACACCCTCTGTTAAACCCTGATTGTAATAATATTGTCTCTCTCCCTCTCTCTGCCTCTAAATCCTAGAATAGGAGGTCTTGTTTAAAGCCTGACTTGTTCACCAAGTTAACTTGGCATCTAAGAAAACTACTAGGATTGGATCTAGCCTTCAAACCCACATCCGACTTGGAGTTTGAGTCGGTACCCAACACAAACCCAACTAGTAGATTATCATTGCCTAATTACTAAACTGTCAACAAAAAAAATCAAGTAAACTGTTACTAAAAAACTACAAAAGACAATTGATTATTTCACAATTCGACCACCCGCTTAACTATGAAATTTACCTCGTACCAATGTTCATCCCCTCACTCTCCGCATAATTTGACTTTTAAGAGACAGGCAAACAAACAAACAAACAAACAAAATTAAAGTCATAAAAAAGCAACTCAGATTTAAATTCAATTTCAATACCCCCCTTAAATTGGGATCAGATATCATGAGTAAAATTGTTTTTAATAGCAATCTTTTTCTTTCTATGGTCAAAAGATCACTTTATCTAAATAAATTCAAGGCATATTAATAGCCAAAATAATCAAGACATTCACTTCCAATTCCTTTTTTTTTCATTCTCAATTAGAACCTTTTGCAAGAAATCTTTAATGTCTTCGATCCACACTTAGAAGCTCCTGAGATCAGTAGCCTTCAGTGCGCCAATGTGCGTGTAACATTATTTTTTTAATTTGTTAATTATAACAATCTTATTATCACTTCACAGTAGTCCTGATACATAGTATAAGCAATCTTTAACATGATACACCGATTAAAGCACACATTTAAAGTGGATCATATATAGAAAATTCTAACTATCCAGTACTCATCCCAACTTCGAAGTCTTAATGCTGTGAGCATAATTATTCGACAACCTCATCTACTATCGAGCATGCAAATAAGATGGACTAATAAGTTATCTAGCTATTCATTCTCGTCACAATCTCATTCACAAACGCCTGCACATTCCGGTCAGACGAGCCCACCGCTGCCGCCATGCCGCCGCCGGCTCTCTATCTCTGTGTCCACTCCGCCGCCCTTCCCTTCGATTCTCTCGACCCATCACCTCCTTGACACACCTCACCACCCCTCTCTCCGCTTGCCGGCGCCTTCAATAATTCACTTCCCAACCCCATAAACATCCACCAAAAAACTTCGCCCCCGGCACCTGATCCCCCCACTGTGGATACGCCACCACCGGCACCCCTGCTGTCAGTGCCTCCAGAGTTGAATTCCATCCACAATGCGTCAGGAAACACCCGACTGATGGGTGTGCAAGAACTCGCTCCTGCCGGCTCCACGACACCACCATCCCGTTCTCTTTTGCACTATCCGTGAAGTTCTCCGGCAAGAAATCTCGGAATTTGTCTCTTACCACCCATAAAAATGGCTGACCGCAGTTTAGAAGTCCGTTCGCCATTTCAACAACTTCTTCTTCGGTCAAAACAACTACACTGCCTACAGAGACATAGACGACTGAGTTCGGCCTCTGTAG